AACAATGTCAATATCACGTCAGAACAAGTAACTGTCAATATAAATTTTCTAACAGGCTTATTTACCAATACAATGTCGTTTTTCTTCAGACTCAGGAAACAAATTCGACAACAACTGTTACCGAAGACATATCCAGTGCGTCTGTTATTTCGGACCTGGTAAGCTAATAAATACGATCAGTTTGATACGCATGTAAAACTCTATTTTTTAAAGCCATCCGAAACTCTCATTCAACATTTGAACAATAATTTGATAAAAGAAGAAGCAACAGAATTGAAAATGAATTACGGAGAAACTGAAGTATCACACAATACTACGCAGGTACGAACTAACTGGCTTTCTGTTTCAGGCGTAAATTTTCGCTTTCTATGCTCTTTTTTAGCACGAGAAGATCAGTTGGGTCGTGGATAATGAAGTAGTTATTGAAACCTCTGTGCACCACGAAGGTACAAAAGAGAAAACGATTTTATCGTTACCAGATGCATCCATACTAGACAATGAAGAGAAAACACCTCAAAAAATAAAAGACGGCGGCGGCGGCGGTATTGAAAATTCAATGATTCTTCACAACGGCAAGGAACAATATTATCAGAGCCGAAAAGATGTGGCCAAACGAATAGCTCTTCGAGCGAAATATTTAGAAGACAATACAGGGTATGGTGATGAAGAGGAGGACATCTATTCCAGCAGCCATTCAACAGCAGAAAATACTGCTCTTATTGCTGAGATGCCGCATGTTACAAAACAGCCATCGTTTCAAGTTCCAACTACGTCGAACGCGTCGAAGATTATTCTCATCAGAAATGTAAACAATCGAACTGTCCCTATTTTATTGGGTAAATATACTCCTTCCATTTATTCTGTTAGATGGAAAGTTTCTTGTTTTTAGCAAAACAAACCCAACCGGCGTCAACCATATTCACCCAACCGCCGAGTAAGTCATTACTAGACTGAAGGATAAAACTACAGTTTTGCACTTTTTCAGTTCGCACAATTGCTCTATCCAGTCCTCTCTCCACAAATCAAAAAATAAACTCACCTGATATTGATTATTCGTATGAGAAACTCAAAACTGAATTAACCGAAAAAATCAATCAGAACAAGCGTAAAAAAATGGAAAACATTGATCCGTTGATATTGGAGCATGTTAAAAATTTACAACGTACAACGTATTTGAAACGTCGTCAACTGATCAAAGCACATCAGTCTTTATCGTTGGAAGATAAAGTAAAACTTTACCCAGAATTGCTTAGTGAAGCAACGGTATGACATACATATATACGGACTCCTGATAATGTACAACTATTGTTTCGTTTTGCTTTATATTTTGTTCGAATACGAGCTGCTTCAGTTAGATCCTGAGTATAGAGTGAATAAGGCAGCCATTCGAAAAGTAATTGATCAGTTGATTTTATCATATAAAATTAACGCAAGAGATAATGTAAGTATTAAAATCTTAACTGTATTGCCGAAGTTTTGACAATGAAGTTTTTCTCTGTCATAGCAAAATGAGACTGATTTAGCCGCGTTACATCAATACCATCAAGAAAAAAAATTAAAGCCAATCATTCTGCAAGGTGCAAGACGGGTATGCGAATATAACAGTGAATTCGAACAATTAATCGATCTTATGTTTATTTTAGGGTGCGGTAAACTATGGTCTTGCCTTTAATGGCCGAAAATGTGAAATGTATCTGGCTAGTATAAAACTTAACGTGTCAACGACAAACAGTGGAATTCATCATCCACTGTTTATATTTCTCATCTCATTTACAGTGTTTAACACTGATTATCCGGTCGATTTAAAACAAACGATTGACATATTTATTGAACAAATGAAGAACAAGTGAACTCATTCTTTCAAGTGAGTATAAATTTCGAAAAACATTTTCGACAAATGAAATAAATATACTTTTTATTTGTAATATTTGTAGCAATTTTATTAGCATTAATTATGGGCGTTGTATGGTCATCATTATGTGTCGTTATGCTTCAATTCAGGTTCAATGAGCAACAACAACAATTGCACATCGCTATCAATAATTAAGCACAAATGATAATAAACATCATCAGAAACAACAACAAAATACAGACGATAGAATGAAATAATTTCTCGGTGATGATGAACTAGAATATTGTTCTGTTCAAAATTTTGTGAATCCAATTTTTCGTACCCTGTCTCAGGATAAGAATTTGTTATATTTTTATATTTACTACTCTTTTTATCTTCAAATTATCAGCGTAAATATTTCTCAAACATATAAAGCGTTTTCGATCGCAATATTTTTTATTTCAATCTGTGTAAATCAATTTTTGTTGCTCGTTATTCTATTTTTTTATTATATATTTCATATGATATTTTTCATTTGTTTTTGTTCAAAATTTATTTATTTAACGGAAAAGTTATTTTCTGACAATAAATCATTAAATGAAAATACTGTTTTACTAATATAAACAAATAAAATAAAAACATTGTGCCCGTGGAGTAGACAATGATATCTAAAAAATATTAGCGCTCATATATTTGTAGCAGTTTACACGCACCATCTTACCAATTCGAAACCTTGTTTTTCTGTTAATCTTGGATACTTTTGAATAACTGCTACGGAAATATTTTTGTAATCAATAGCACTTTTCGTTGTGTAAGTTTCCATGATAAAATCTCGTGTTTCATAATTAAAACAGCTTTTAATTCGATCATCATCAAGATCGCCTACAAAAAAAAGATATTTTCTTAAAGTAGCAATTAAACTCAACACTAAGTGAATATTGCGATCGATAAAAGTCCAATTTCTCTATTTACAAAACAAGATTGAGTCACTTGCGTGTAGCCAATTTCTAAAGTGAATGAACTGAGGTAATAGACGACGCGCAAAATGATGCAGAAAAGTGGATGATTCTCATTTATTAAAGTGGGTGATCATATTTACAGTGCGTAATCCACAAAAATAGATGACACCTCTGCCATTGGTGGACACAATACCCAATGAATTTTGTGTCACCCGCTTTGCTGGATGAAAACTGTTAATGAAGTGGGTGACCACTGAGTGATTGGTCTGCAGAGTCATCCACTTTTCTGTAGTGGAAAAATGATGCAGAAAAGTGGATGATTCTCAGATATTAAAGTGGGTGATCATATTTGCAGTGCAGTAATAAAGAAAGGTCTGTTTAAACATTTATCCAATAGATTATAAGAAAAAGTGTTGCCTGGTGACACGTAGATAGCTCCATAGACAGCTAATATTGCCTGGGTAGAATACATAACTGAAATTACAAATTGTTTAACTCTTCACAAATAGTCTTCGCTCTTACAGAATTATGTATTAGCATCGCAACACCCCAAAAAACTTCGCTCCCTCCTGATTGAACCAAATATAAAATAAATCTTAGATAAATTTCTGATTTTGGAGCTGACGCCTATGGGTCAATCCATATGACTCCTACCGCGTTATACAAAACTTATGGTACAGAAAGCGAGACACACATTTTCTGATGTAATTTTGCACGCTGATTCCAGTGGTCGAAATCGCAGCTCTCTAGCTATCTAGAGACAAACGTTATACGCATTAAAAGCGCATTTTTCACTGTTTTCCAGCAGCAACACCTTCTATTGCAAAGCCTCTGGAAAGCGCATTTCCGCGTGTAGAATCTTCGTTTTGGTCTCAAATAAAAGAGGTTGTCGAGCTCTATATAGATCAATGAAAAACTTTCGTGTTAATTTTTCGGAACAGTTCTAAAAGATCTTCAAAAAATCCAGGTTTCCAGTAATCCTAGCGGATTTCGAATACAACAAAAATTCTTTTGAATCTACCAGTCCATAGTTTATTCATGAATAAAATGAGATATCTCCGAAGTTTCTGACACCTTCCAGTAAAGAAATGGAAAATGCGAAAGGCGAGAGTTTTTTTAGGCTGAAACTCTCGTGCCTATTGCAAAAATTCGACTCGTTCCCCCATTTTCCTTACAGTTCTTTACTGGAAGGTGCTAGAAACTTCGGAGACGTCTCGTTTTATTCAAAATTGAACGGACTAAAACTTTTTCAATATATTCCAAATCCGTTATGATTGCTGGAAAACCGGAGTTTTCTGGAGATCTTTTAGACATGTTCCAAAAACTTAACACGAATATTTTGCATTGATCTATACAGATCTCGACATCCTCTTTCATTTGAGATCAAAACGAAGGTTGTACGAAAACTGCATTGGAAAATGTGTTTCTCGTCTTCTGCACTTTAAATCGATGTGATGGTGGTAGGGTCTATATGAAGTTACCCCTATTCAAATCGTTTTGTTTTCTCATTAGCGAAAGGAGTTTTTGATGGTGATCGGTAAGCAGTTGAAGACAGCCATTTAATACATCAGTGGTATGGTTTATTGTCATTAACATTTGATCATTCAGTTGTCGTTATGGATCACCTGAACAGGTTTCTTTTAATGATCAACGCTGAAACATATTTTGCATAAATATAGATTTATAAGTACATTAGCAACGCTTCAAGCACTACCAGAAGATTTTTACAAAATTCATCTCGAAAACAACTGAAATAAACCAAAACCTTATCTGTTTATCCATACATATGTTATTCGAGCTTTTAAAAATATACTTTGATATATGGACTATGTGATAGTGACAAAAGTTCTGTTTAAACACTTAGGTTTTGGGGAAAACACTAAGCTATAAAATGCTTAAAAGCACATGAATGCGCAGGCAGGAAGATGTTTTTCATCTAAACCATTAAAGATATGGGTGAGTCTATTGCCACTCCTAGGAGTGTCAACAAGAAGCTATTGCCACTCCCAGATTGAACGATGATGATAGAAGATGGTGTTTTTCTGAAAGAATAAATAATAAGATGCTAACACAGTATTTATACCATAAGTTTAAAAAGATAATGTAACTTTACGCCTAGAACGTTCTCCACACCCCTTTTCTTTTTCAGTTATTCAATTCACATATGTACAAGCCCCAAAAGATAGATAACTTCTTTCTACGTCTTTTCTTTTTCTACTACTTATATTTTATTTCTCTTTGTTTTAACATGTAAAATACCTATAGTACATATAGTACATACATCACCCCGTCAGCTACGTTGCCGGGAGTGGCAATAGCATCTTGTTGACACTTCTGGGGGTGGCAATAGCTCCTTGTTGACACTCCGACTATTGTGATGACTATTTGCTTCCCGTATATGTAACCCTCATTGAATATAATAAAATAGATATAGTTTTGTCAGCTCACTTAGACTCGGAATAGTTTTTACATAGAAAATTGCAGAATTGAAAGGTCTACACAATGAACTATAATACATTGTTTTCAAAGGTTGCCTACGTGGATATACTGGACAAATACTTGGCAGGAGACAGGTATTTCGGTCTTTTTCCTATAGTGCCACAGAAAAATGATTGTTGTTTCTACTACAGACGCAGATTAGGCATAGTTTGTACATAGAAGGATGCAGAATTGAAAGAGCTATGGGATGAGCTATAACAGATTTTTTCGAATCATAAGGTTGTTAGACTTATGGGTAAAAAGATGAACGGCATATTTTTCTTCTTTTCAGATTAATTACGCTAATTTTGATGACATCAGGTCTTTAAATTGAATGCTGTTTGATGAAACGTGCTCAGAGACATCTTAGTTTGTTCAGAAGTGTTTTCTGTACACGATGAAACTGTTACAAGAAAAGTATCACTAAAATACCTGTCAAGTATTTGTTCAATATTCCTACGTAGGCAAACTTTTAAAACAGTGTATTATAGCTCATTGTGTAGCCCTTTCAATTCTGAATTTTTCTATATGTAAACCATTGCGGGTCTAAGCGAGCTGACAAAACTATATTCATTTATTATATTCAATGAGGGTTACATATACGGGAAGCAAATAGTCATAGATAATGTTTGACCAATAACTCTATGAAGACATTAGTTTGAAAAGATGTGCTATATATCATTTTAAAGTCCGTTTAATTACGTATACTGTAGCAATGAGGTCGAGTCGATAAATTAATCTGTCCAATGCTGTCTCCTGTTTTCAATCGTCTGCCGTCTAAAAATCGGGTCCTTGATCTGTTTCTAGCGTCTCCATCCATGTCGTCTGATTGACGGCCGACTTCTACATGAAATATTCATTTCTTGAACCAACTTTCCAGAACTTTTTATCATTTTTTATTTAAATAATTACGCAGATATTCATAGGTATATTTACAGGATAACAACCGAAATATGAATGAACGTTTAGTTGTCATTATTGCATAGAACATAGACCCTGAAGATTGTTCTTTACAAATCTCGCTCGAAACATATGGTTTTCAAAACATGAATTCTTTTACCAAAGAGGATCACCAAAGAGGAAGATGACGGCTGGCTGGAAGTGTGCCTAAAAGAAAGTATAATTCAAACCTACTGGGATGAGCTCACAGCTACATACGTGGTATATGAGCTCTCTGAGCCATGCATTCCTTGTTCATATCATTGCTGGGCAGTTTGTTCTCAAGCCACCTGGTGAATATCTCTATGGGACACATCGCACTCGAACATGCTATAGATCGATAGTTGCCAGTTAGTATTATGTGATGATAGACAATAAACAGTGAATAACTTACGCGGTAATTGAATTGTCTGAGTTGTACGACTGTTCGTCGCGTTCAGATACTCTAGTTTCAAGGCATAAGTATTATCTTCTTCAATGGAAGAACAGTTGTAGATCAAGAAACAAAAATCATATTTACCTACCTGGTATCTGATACAAGTCGAAGAAGAGCGTACTGCAATATGGAGGCTGATGAATGTAATTCCCAAAAAAGGACAATAGCGCGGCAATTATAGTGTCATGCTACGAAGTCGAAATGGATGAAAAAGAAAAGTGAATTTTGAGTGAGCTGAACTCACCCCCGAGTAGATTTTCGCTTTCCATCCACTTGACTTGTTTGTCATCAAGCTTTGAATATTGTCCATTATATCGCGAATCATTGGACCTAAAAAGTTGATTTGGGGAACTAGAAAGATATCTTTCGATGGGTGGAGAACTGACCTCCATGGATCCGATTCATCTCAAGCGAGTCGAAAAGGTAGTAAAACGATAAGTCAGGAATTTGTTGAAGTTGAGCAAGAACAGAGGGGCTGGCCCATGATGGCTGTATATTGTACAAGTTCTTGAGCGAGAGAGAACAAGTTAGTTTGATAGAAACACTCGTATATACTACCTCAATTACAACTGTATCAGCAATGACCCACGCATCAAATAAATCATTAATTTTCGACCCTGTCCAAATCTCGAGTTGGTCAAAGAAATCCTGCCCAGAAAATTTCATAATGAAAATTGTTCCTGTTCGTATGTCTCTAGGCTTTACCTGATTTTGTCTCGTTAGGTTTTGCATCCGTTCACTGTTGCTTAATTCTTCGAGAAGCTCAAAGAAGCGTGGACACTCACTGGTGCCCATCACCTGAAAAGGAGACATCCTCTCGTTAGAAAAGAAAGCCAGTAGAATTGTTGAATCTGAATTAAAGACGAAGAAAATTTTTTTTCCATTTAAAGGAACCTTTTATGTTACGCAGTATCAGTCACCTGTTATTTAACCAGCCAGTTAAAATCAACAGAAAATCCTTGACAAAGGCACTGAAATAGGAGTAATACTCCGCCATAGTACTCATCAGTGGCATAGTCATGGGAGGACTCGTGGAGGCTGTGATAGCGCAAAACGCTTCGTTCCAAACACTTAGATTTTTGGGAATACACTAGACTATAAAAAAAGGCTTAAAAACACAAGAATGCGCAAGAAATTTTTTTTAATTTTAAACCATTAAGGATATACACTTGAATGACGTATAGCCTAAATCCAGACACTTTGATCTATATAACAGTGGAAAAATTTATCTGTTTGGACTTAAAATAGTGAAGTCATAAAAAACTTTGTTTCACAATAGCTGTGGTCAGTATAGTGTGCATCACCTTTAACCCCCAACTTCAACCTAGCTCAAACTTTACCAACATTTTTCTGTATCTACTTTACATATTTGCAGTTAGTATAAATGATCATTTGCTTTAGTATAGGTTTTCCAAAACCCCATAGTTTTCCAGCTAAGATCTATTTTTCTCGGTTCAGAAGCACTTCTATTACAAAATAATGCCATATTCGGAACCAGCGCATTAAACTGCCTCGAACGATGTAGGAAAGTATTATTTTGCGGAAATGTTTTTTTCGAAACTATCAGCCATAAAATCTCTCTCAGGCAGTTTTTCAGAAAAAAATTGCTTTTAGGAAAATGACATTTTTGCATTTTAACGTTTATTAGACTTAGGAGTACAATAATAGAGACAAAAAAAATGTCTATTGCGAAAAACACTTCGCCTGCACATCATAAGCCCAAACTGTCTACTGTGCCCTGCCCTCCCCCTCAAACGCATCGAATCAAAGCAAACTTCGAAATAATTTTGCGACAATAGTAGTGAAAACTGTTGAAGTTTCTTGCGAAGAAAATTGGTTTTCCATGCGTTCTGGTGGAGAACAAATTCATACCAAGTTACCTTAGACGTGAAATTTTTCGACCTATACCCATTTTCAAAGAAAAATAACACATCCTATGCTTTATATATTAAATCTCCGGAACCTAAGGTCATAAGTATGTGGCCAATCCTTTATAAAAGTCTTCGAAAAACCCCTATCTCAAAACGTTTTAGGTAATCGGAAAGTAGAAGATAGAAAATTGTCCTTGCAAATACGATAGGACAGATTCTTTCATATTTTGACCACATGTAGCGTGATCAGATCAGCTTCATGATTTATGTAAGCTGAACGTTCGAATTGCAAGCTTTCTTCAAAGACATTCAGCTA